TTTTGAAATATTTCTCCTTGCATTTTCTTGTACGTTTTCAAAAAAGCTTCAGTAATGATTGTTGTCTTACAAAACCTCCAACTGACCCTCCTCCCGCCCAAAAAAGTCAACTTTTTCATTTTTAAGCTCAGAGAACGCTTCTTAGCTGACGTTCGCATCATAAATTGTCTACAAACTGCACAGGCAATCTTCTCGAATTATTCAGACCGTAAAATCGACACGTGAAAAATAATCAGGGGTTGCAGCCATCCAATAACCTAATATTTTCTAGAGGCAAGTCCCGCACATTTCTGTAAGCATGAGAGAGGGATTTGTCATGTTCTCAAATTATTGATCAATAGAAAGGAATCGTGAAATTTTATAATTATAAAATTTATAGTGCAGTAGAATTGGTCGAATAGCGCAAACAAACGAGATCAACTGACAGAATATAGTGAAGAAGATTCTATGCAAAAATAATCGACTACTTTAGACCATGGTCCCATTTCAGTCCACCTCAAGCTATGCCATATTCGACTTATCGCAAACTATCAATTGAGCAAAAGGAAGTAACACCTCCTATGAATAACGAGCCACCAATGCGGATGCCATCAATACCAATAGTGGTGAGTTTCACGCAACATCTACTCAATACTGCAGTAATTTTTCGCGCGCGAAGCAGAAAACCGCGCCGCGTTGCTTATGCGGCGCGGCTGCTTTAGTCTGATGTTTGAAACGATAATCAAAAAAACGCAGTGCATTTCCTTGTCTTATCGGATTTTCTGTAAACTTAAATTTGTTTATAAGATTCCTATCTAAGACCTAATTAAGGCCACCACTATTGCGTCTACCACCAGTCTTCGCTCGGATAAAGTAGCTCGAGCATGGCGTAGACAACAACAACAACGACCTCGTAGTATGTTTGAACGTACAGAAGAACACAGGTACACAAATACTGCACTACCGTAATCAAAAAACCAGAAAATTGCTTTCAGTCCTAGTCGAGACTCATTAATCGACACACAAGCATTCATGCAAATCACACCACCACCAGTACATCGTAAAATGGGCGTGGCGCAGGTAAGAGACGCAGAGGATTCGTTTTACAGTAATACGAGGTTACGGTAATTGCAGCCACCACGCTCACCATTGGCACCTATTCGATTAGCCGTAAATGTGTCGCCACAATCAAATCGTCCACTTCGAACAGCTCAGAAGCCTGATATCACTAAAGTTGGCAAGGTCGAGGTGAGACTGCTACCGTAATCTTCATGGAAGGGGGGGGGGGCGTACGGCTGCGACTCGAAAATATAAAGAAATCATAACTTGGCAAGACGTCTTTT